ACCAAATCTAAAAATTGGATACAATAGTTACTGAGTCTAGTATGGCAAAAGGTCACAAGTTTTGCACACCTAGTGAGAATCTACCTCAGTTACCTATGAGGAGGTACAGATTACGAGATACCATATAAATTTGATTGTGTGGTGCATCCTTCCGGCGCATGATTTACGAGTTGTTTATACAGTAAGTATTTTTATTTTAACTTTCTTCAAACAAAAATAATTTTAAAAAAAATTGTCAAAAAAAAAAAAAAAAAAAAATAAAGACAGACACAAAGAGATCTCGCTTTGCTGCTTCGTCCAGTTTTTTTTTTAGAGTAATTATTCATATTTCAGCTTTCTTTAAACAAACAATATTTTAAATATTTAAAATATTTTTGGCATATTAAAAAAATATTTTCAAGTGAGTATGATTTAAAAATACTTTTGACATATTAAAAAATATGTCAAACTAAATCTGATTTAAGGTTCAAGTTTATACCGGAAGTTCTATTCCTATTAAATGCTATAAACAATGAGCAAAACGTTAAATATGAACCAGATCAATGATGAATCATAATAAAATTAACTTTCATTTGAATGGAGTGTTGAAATCAACTTCCATGTTTTATAACCTGAACCGTCAGTGACCTAACGGGTCACAGGTCGTCTACTACAGGGGTCGGCAACCTTTTACTAACTAACCCTAAGGTTTTAAAATCATGCAATGTGCCAACAGCATACATATCTTTTATACAAGTCAAGGTCAATATAACTGTTCTACAATATATTTTATATAGTAATATATAGTATATATACTTTAGTATAAAAACTAAAACAGCAAAATATCTTCTTTGTGTTGTAGTAGTTATTGGTTCGGACTTCGAGATGTCATTTGCAGCTGTGTGCCACTAGAAACTGCTTGGCGTGCCATATATGGCATGCGTACCGCATAAGGCACGTGTGCCGTATGTTTCCGCCCGCCGGTCGAGTACTTGAAAAAAAAGTCGAAGAACAGATCTGCCGAAGTGATGAATTAAAAAACAAAAAAAAAAAAAAAAAAAAAAAAAAAAAAAAAAAGAAAGAACGATGATCGTTTGGATATTAAAGAGTAATCGGGCAGGACCAGGAATAAGAATTAGACATGGGCAGCGGGAAAGAAAGAATCTACCCACCATAGATTAAATGAAGCGCTCAATTCAAAATTCCCTGAAGGTAACCTGGATCAACAATCCCCCCTATGAAGGCCAGAAGTCACAACAGCTGAAATGTTGGGATAGCAACAACAAAAACGAGAAAAAATACTCCTCACAGGAATAACGATTACTCCTTATTCCGGAAATTCAGGTAAAAACTATGGAAGAATTCATTTAAGAAATGTAGACAGAACAAACAAATCCAAACAATATTCGGCCGAAATTTTGTTTTAAGTTACCAAAAATATGAAAACTATAACATCCCAAATGTATGTATAGCTGACCACTCGAATTCGAGGTTACCAGTCTACAAGGGCGGCTAGTCAATCCCTATTGCAGACGCTTGTTCAGGCGCATTTGTGTTTATTCAACACCCACAGAGCCCACCTGTGGTTTATACTGCAACTATGCTGAGCGGACCATAGTTACAATTTCTGGGAGAAAACGGGTTATCTAGCATGATAAACAATGTGAAGGCGGCCAGCGCGCTCAAGCTTTCGTGCTAGCACAGCTATCGATGGCACTCAAGGGTTCCGTCTACCCAATTTCACTCACAAGGTTTAGGTCAAACCGTGGGATGGCATTTTCCACGCTGGGAACGACTCCTCCCGTCAGATAGCATCATCCTTCCCGACAAATCGACCACGGTGAGATTCGAACCCCGGTCTCATGGCCAGAATGCGAACGTGTCATAACATCCCAAATAATATGTAACTAAAACTCATATTAAGCAATGCACCAAGGATAGCGAAAGAATCATTCTTTTTAACGCTGACATGCTAAAGACACTAAGTTTGGCAACAACCAAAAAAGAAAAAAAAAATAGAGCATGTATTTTTTTTTTTTAGACATACCTCATTGCTTATGAAGTGTTGGTCTCTTGATCTTTATTCGATCTAGAGAGGTATACTTATTTTTTTGGCTCTCCAAAAAGTTGTTGGGCTGGTGGGGAGATTGATTTAACCAGAGATTGATTGGATGATAAACATCTTACTTAAAAGATGCAAAAATATAATTAGAGAGAAAGAGAGTGCCATTGACGGAGCCAATAGAAAAGAGGTTCGCATCTGTTTAAAGTGACAACAACCAGAGACCGTATGATAAAGCATCGCCCCCTTGACCTCCCCATTCATCTACCACCCACAGCTTGCTTAGTATGTTCACCAACAAACCTCTAACCAACCTACAGCAACGCTTTCCATGATAGAGCCTTCAGAATGTTGATATCTCTAACAGATAGTAAGGGAAAAGCTGTGGCTCATGGGATAAAGACACTGTTCTTTAAGAAGCCGATAAATAAAAACAATGCCTATCTTCAAGCATATCATGGTAAGAGAGCTTTGACAAATATTACCACCCGCTTGTTATCTTCCTAAATCCAACCTTTCTCACTTGGGGGTCTTTAGAATCCGAGTGTTCCACGGTAGATATAGTGATTAAAAAACATGTTTGCCTCGGGGTTCTTGATAGGCTCCAGAGGCGGATATGCAATATAATTGGCCCTGATCTGGCATCTCGTCTACAGACACTTTCTCACAGACGCGCCGTCGCCTCTCTGTCTGTTTTACAAATACTTTCATGGCAATTGCTCCGAGGAGCTGCATTCGCTGGTTCCCAGACTTCATGAATTCAAGCGCCCTACGAGGCTGGCATCCCGCTCTCACCCTTTCACTGTCGAAACTCCTAAATGTAGCTGTCTCTTCTACTCCAATAGCTTCATGTCTCGCACCTCTCGCTTGTGGAACTCCCTTTCCTATTCCAGTTTCCCTGAGAGCTATAATCTCCAACTATTCAAATGTAATGTCAATCGATATCTCCAGTTGCCTTGATCTATCCACTATCCTTCTCCTCATCCTTTCCTCTATCACTCCTATTTGATCTTGCTCCAAATCTTCTGTAACCCCTTGCGTCCTAGTGGCTTTCCGCGTTGCTTGTGATGAAACGCTTAAAAAAAAAAAAATCCTCGTTTTCATAACATTAGCTACGTTTAGCGTATTAAATGTGTAGACAAATGGAACATTTATTATGGGACAAAAGTAATATTATATCATCTTAATTCTGCAGGTCTCTCCCTTAGTTACTTAGCGCTACCGTTACGCCTTGCCAATGCCGCATAAATAATGAACTATTCTGTTTGGATCGTGTGGAAAGCCGGAAAAGACATATCAGAGACGCTACTTGGTTTCAATGAGGAAGTAAGAAAGAAATAAATAGACGAGGTTATAACAATCAGTGAAATAGAAAAATTTGTTAATTTTAAATATTTTTATTTGTACCTCCTTAAAATAACGACCAGCATACGGATTTATGTTTGTTATTGAAATATTTAGTTAAAGTTGTTAAGCTCAAATGTCTAACGATAGGAGAGTTTCTACTGATACTTTCTTGTAGAACTCGCCATGAGCGTATAAGTTCAATTAAAATTCTTTAAAATTTAAAGCAGAAAAAAATCATGAAATTTTCACGAGTCTTTCTCCTAAATAATGTACTGTCTCGTAATGGCAGATACATTTAGTGCATGAAATGTAACAATTTATTGTTTATATAATACAGTAAAACCTCGAATTAACGGTGCTGGATTTAACTGACAAAATAAGCAAAAATGGTAGTGTCCGGCTAGAACTCAAAACGCACTCGCGTAGCGAGCAAAGTCCGTTGTTACTTACTGGCGCAATCAACAGACAGGGGGGACTCGTAGTTCCGGGAATAGCCACTGTTGTTTATTTTGAGCCCTTGTTGTGTACACATATGCATCGTCTCTCGATCATTTTATACTGATTTTGGTACAGTTTAAAGATATGTTTAAAAAGATAAGTTTTGGTATACTTTAATGATAAATTTAAAACGTAACATACACTACATCTCCCTCTATCTGTGTGTATGCAATTTATTTTATGTTACTATATAGTAACTTAAAAAATAAAATACACATACATATATATACATATATATTTATTTACATTTTTGTTAGATCACAAAAAAACACCTCAAATTAACAAACTGCTCTATCCTCCCACTTTTAGTCGGTTAAATGGAGGTTCCACTGTACCACCTTTGACCCATAATGGTTGTCAGTATATAAAATGCGTGAGTAAATGTACCAATTTATTTGAGACAGAATTAATATTAATACTATTAAGTTGGTGTAAAAATAATGACGTAAGAATGTCGTTTTTTGACGTAGAAAAGTACGTCAAAAACGACATTATTACGTCATTATTTTTGCACCAACCTAATACATCTGTCCCATAATAGTTGCTAGATCTAGTGTATGAAACGTGTATGCAAATGGGACAACTATATTTTATGTCGCTACCAAATGTGACACAAGGTCAGTTTAAAGTGGGTTTAACGGCAATTTTGTGGAAAAGTTGACCAAGCTCCCTCGGTAGTTCTTTACAAACGCCCTAGGTGTGGGCAATAAATCCAGCCATTTTGCCTGGTGGGGAAGGGCTCCTGGGTCTTGGACTTAATATTATTCGAACTTCCCAGAGCCAAAAGACCACGATAATTCTTTTTTGACTTTTCTTAAATTTGATTTTCCTCGGCATTTTTTGACCGGGATAAAAGTTTTGTATCTGTTCTCTTACAATGTATTTCAGTTTTCAAGCCGGGACTTCGTTAAGACATAAAATTTATTTCAAGGATTTCTTTATGGTGAAAAAACGTTAAGAAAATAATGAAGAAAAACCTTTCAGGAAATATAGGTTCAAATCGGCATGATGTTTAGATGGCTGGCTATTTGTACTTGTGTAGACAAAACAGAATTGTTGCAGACAGACTCTATTGAGATGATTTGAGTAAAAGTTTCGATTCTGAAACGTATTACTAACTTGTAAATAAATGTTTACGCTTAACGGTAGTCGCTTTGAAAAATGAATGAAAATAGAAAGAGAGGGGAGAAAAGAGGACGGAGGGGAGAGAGAGAGAAAAGAGTGAGAAGAGAGAGAGAGAGAGAAGAGTGAGAAGAGAGAGAGAGAAGAGAGAAAAGAGAGAGAGAGAAGAGAGAGAAGAGAGAAAAGAGAAGAGAGAGAAGAGAGAGAAAAGAGAGAGAAGAAGGAGAGAAAAGAAAGAGAGAAGGAGAGAAGAGAAGAGAGAAAGAGAGAGAGAAGAGAAAAGAGAGAGAAGAGAGAAAAGAGAGAGAGAGAGAGAGAGAGAGAGAGAGAGAGAAGAGAGAGAAGAGAGAGAGAAGAGAGAGAGAGAGAAGAGAGAGAGAGAAGAGGACGGCGGAGAGAGAAGAGGACGGCAGAGAGAGAAGAGGACGGCAGAGAGAGAAGAGGACGGCAGAGAGAGAAGAGGACGGCAGAGAGAGAAGAGGAGCATGAAAAAAATGTAAATAAAATCTTTCTAAAAGAAAGACAAAAACAGATGCAAACATGATTAAAAACAAAAAAGCACAAAATTCCGTGTAAAACGTCTCTCAAAAGAAATTAAGTGTCCATTTTCCTCGAAAAAAAATCTCATTAACTTACGTAGCACTGTTAATGTAAAATCAAGTAAGCGCAGTGGAGTTATCGACAAAACAGTTCTAAACCAAACCATGTCACCTGATGATGAGCGGAAAACAGAATGAACTTCGAAAAAAAAAAAAATAAAATAAATAAAAATAAATAAATAAATAAAAATAAGAGTTTAACATGGCATCTGAATAACAAACTTTTCAAAATAAGTATTACCGTATACCTTGGAGTCACACCGATATGATAATATAGTTCTTCAAGTAAAATATTCTTTATTGCAACATCAAAAAAAGTAATGATGGATGAGAAGGATCTCTTCTGTTAATTCACCCCAAAATAAAAAAAAAGAATTTATATTTACTTAGTAAATATATAAATTCTTTTTATTTTATTTTATGAGAGAATCTCGTGTGAATTTTCGTAAATTTTACTCATGTCAGACCGACCTCCTTGCATTGCACTTCGGTTGGGTTAACCTTTGCGATCACCACAATTGTGGGCGACTCGGGTGCGCTGTTTTTAAGTGCGAGATTTGTAGACGCACTCACCCGATAAACAAGCCGAAAACAGATTTTTTTTCCCATTTTTTTCTAATTGTAAAAATTCACTTGTAAGTATCTCGAATATTATCGGAGCTTACGAAATGTGAATAACTCCCTGATTTTTGGTAATTTCTAATTCTAAGGGTTGGAGTTCTTGTGAATTGAGCTAAACAAACTTCGATTTAAAATTTATAATTTCAAAAGAGTGCCAAAAATTTAAGTAGCAAATATATATTAAAAAAAAAAACCTTATTTAAATTTTATAATTTCTTGGGGTGAATTAATATTTGCGATAAGTAACTTCATTATTTAGTGGGGAATTAACGGAAAATATCTGTATGAGAATAAAGACCAAAATAAACAGATGTGGATATTAATTCCGTTCCCCCCATCCCCGCAAATTGATTTGTCGTTTTCTAAGAAGAAAACTATCTTGCTTTGTAAAGATTGAACAAATCTTGTCATTTTCATATTTCCGAATGATAGCATCTTCCTGTACACGTCAAAAGGAACAGAAACAGCCGATAACCGTGCACTGATAGATGAAGGTGTGGAAGAACGGAGAGGTCGGGGCTTAAATTAGGATTGAGGAAAGGATTATCCAATCACATAATAAAAAGAGATTTTCTTTGAGATTTCTTTAAAAAAAAAAAAAAAAAAAAAAAATGACTATTCTTCCCAGTTCGTATCGCTTTTCTTGTGGTCTGCGGCTAACCAAATTCTTTGTTGTTACACCGTATACTTATCTCTTGATCCACTTAATGTAGATATTGAACAAAATCCCCCCACCACGCTGTCAGTTAACAGACAGACAACATCGTGGGGATTTTGGTATCAAAGAATGTTATGTTTGAGATAGGAAGGAGGTAAATCAAATAAATAATAAAAATAAATGGCACAGCAGTCTATAAGAATGTTGAACGTCTTACTATGGAGCAATTGTTAGCAAGCTCATCTCGAAGACCATTACAATGTAGAGAGTTCGATCCCTCATACCTGTAGCCTTGTCTTATTGTACGATGACTTCAGTAAATGAGTAGTAATCAAATGCTGTGGCTTCGATTTTATGACAAATAGATTGCTATATAACGGTCAGGAATTGCTAGCCAATCCCCCGTAAAAGAAATGTTCCCAATCAAATAATTATAGTCTTCAACGCTTGATGGTTCGAAATTATAGCAATTCCTCATTCGGAAAGAATAAACGAACCGAGATGCTTTAGCTTTAGAATGTCAACTTCCAGACAGTTTTTTTTTAATTATTTTATTTACTTGTTTTCATTTTTTTTTTTAACGATTTCAAATAATGATTCTCTGACGTGGAAACTAACGAGTGCAACAACGTGCTCAGAGGTGACATGGTACAGTAGTGTCCATGGAGGGAGGCGTGAGAGATAAAGAGAGGGAGGCAACTAGTGAGGGGGAGGAATGAAAGTGAGAAAAAGACCGAGTGAGTGGGGAGTGAGAGGCAAAGAGAGAAAAAGAGAGAGAGAGGCACCGAGTGAATGGGGAAGGAGAGATAAAGAGAGGGAGGCATCAAGTGAGTGGGGGCTGAGAGATAAAGGGAGATGTGAGAGGAAACGAAAGAAGTGCTATGGAAAGCAAGCCAAATTTAGATAATGATATTGATGCAGGAGTAAACGTAACAAACAAAAAGTAAAAAAAAAAAAAAAATGAAACACCAACGTAATTGGGGAGCGGAAAAAAAATCAATCGGAATGAAGTAAACATTTTATAGAAAGGGGGGAAAAAAGCACAGTAGAGAAAAGATAAATAAAAAGAAAGATACAATGACGATGTCGTTCAATGAAGAAAGATAGGTGATTAAGTGGGGAAAGTAGGAAACACTAAAGACATTATCGAGGTTGAAAAAGAGGAAGTTTCAAATAGAAACAAAAAAGGAGCTGGAAGGGTTAAGGGAATAAAATGAATTTAGAACCAAATGAAATAAAACAACCGAATAGGATTGTTTTTCTTCAGGTAGATTTTATGAGCACAAAATGTCCGTCTACTTGAATTCTGTTTCGCTGTATAAAGTAATGACGTCAATGATCTTGCAGAAGAATCATGTTATTTCCTTGCGAAATACCAACATCCATTCGAAATGAAAGACTACTACTTTTTTTAATGGATCTTAATTTTGTTTTGCTATAAATAATTTTTTTTTTACCATAAGTATCTTTCTGCTTTCATAAACACCCGTAGAAGACAGGTATTACATTATCAATATAAGATAAAATATTTACTGTAAAAATTTTCCGTTTGCAGTTCAGACATTGTGAACCTTTGGAGTAAAGGTTAGTGTTGTTGTTTTTTTTTTCGCTAGTAACATTGGAGTTTATCCATATCGTGTTTTTACTGATCGTAATAAATTCTAATATCAGAGCTTTAATTTACCAACATAATTTGTATATTTGCAAATATTCAATGCAAAAACATTTCGTAAGAAACGATTTAATTGTCGTGAACTTCAAAAGCAAATTGCAAAAGACATCTGATGCCAAGTGTTTCATAGTAGAAAATTGTGTACCTGGAATAAATGGCATCTTGGAATGGAATCGTAAAATATAGACAGTGATTTCTTGAAAATTCTACAAGTCGACTTATTGGAATCTCTTGCTTGTGAGAAGATATTTTCTTCTGATTGAAACGAAGGTTTCAAATTACGATGTTGTCATTGGCGTGGAGAGGATGCAAAAATGAATTTTAACACTGAACTTCTGCCCAAACTTCATGTTGTTGGGAACAAAGTGATCTCGTTAACCACTCCTAGGTCGAGTTCGATGTGCATGACACACAGACGAACTTTGTAGTATATAGTAGAATCTTATAGAACGCCTTCTGTAAAATTGTGGTTGTCGAGTTTATTTTGCATTAAATACACTTGTATTATGATTTATATCTTCATCGAGTGTCCCACAATTACGACCCTGTGTCAAATTAAGTTAAACTTCGTTAGCATTTCGTTTTCAAGTCAGTCGAAACCATCTTTGAAGCGATTTTCTACCGGGATAGGAAAAAAGGTAAGATCTTTATGGGATAAGTTTGAATTTGGACGATTTTAGGAACTCTGTAGAATCTGTTTAATTGATATAGGTTAATATAATATATTCTTTATATCTACGTTCTTTAAAAAAATTGGATTCAAGTTAAAGAATTAATAACAGCAGATCTTGCAAGTGTGTTTATATTTCAATATCAGTAAGCACTTTCATAGAAGTATTTGGACAATCCTGAAAGCAGCTTAAATTGAATATTCCGGAAGAATCAGATTTTGGCCAGGAAATTAATTCGGCAGAAAAACACACCAGGTCGAGAATGCAACACATGATCAGTTTTTCCGAAAGAAATTCTGAGATTCTTGGTCTTTGCTGAATACATCAGAGAATAATTCTGACCCTATTCCTCTTTGCAACGGAAAAAGGACGTGTGGCTGGGGACGGATCTTGATAGAGAAATTTCACACAACAGATAATGAGAAATCTTCGTTGATTAACAAAAAATAAAATAAAAATCAAGATTCTGACAATTAAGAGCAATTTTGAAGATGGCTTCTCCAATTTTTTTTCTCTAAGATCCTGTACACTTTAAAGTAATGATTAATTCTTTTACTTGCTCGATTTGTTGAATCGTTTGATGGCTAGCCGCCATAATAAAAATCTAATTGAAAAAGGAAGCGATAAAAAAAAAGACGAATTAAAAACAAGCATTTAAAAACTGTAAAACAATAATTAATGAAAGCTTGGAGCAAAAGTCTTTCTCTCCTTTTTTTACATTTCATTTAATATTTTCCTCAGATAATAAATCTTTTACAAATTTTACTGATACGACAGTTCACTAAATATAGTAGTTTGTAACTTTCTTTTTTTTTTCTCTCAAAATTATAAAATCAACAAACTGTTTTAAACTATTTTTAAAGTTTTTTTTCAACAGAACTCGGTGTTTGTAAATATAAGATTAAAACAAAAAACAATGAAGTGTTTAGTTTTAAGAGATTTAATAGTAAGAGTGAAGATATCTGTTTAAATTAAAAATGTACGTAATGTTTCTAGCTTATACATACAAAAAAGATATATTGCCTAAGCACTTTAAAGGCAAGAGCTGACAGAAAAAAGGAAATTGTTTTAGCTATAAAACATTTGTTCATAATGTTTCATTAATTTTTCGATAATAAGTTTATTTTATCTCCGATATTCTTTAAGTCCATATAATTTAAGATTTTTAAGAGATTATTTCAGTAGAGCGAAACTACAATCGCCATCTTTGCTTGTTTATTTTTGCAATAAAATTTATCCTTCATCTTATTTACTTTTTATAGCCTT